TTTGTTTAAAAAGTCTTTCTGTTTTCTTGCGTTCATTCAAACTTTTCCAGCTGTATGTTGGCTATTTTTTTGTGATAGCACGATTATTCTACAATTTTTTTAAATAAACGTGACAGTGACCTCCAAAGTCATTCGCAAAACCATCCACGGTTTTGATTTAGTCAAAATCTTATCTCTTGATTCGCTTTAACCGACTAATTCGATTTTGATCCTTCAGCAACTCATAACTTTCAATAAAATTGTTGTTGTTTTACAAATGTTGTATAAGTTCACTATTTCAATCACTTAGCGTAAGTATTTGAAAAAAATGTTTCCACTGAATATTTTTATGAAGTGTTTGTCTATAGATTGAAGAAATGTAGTTCATTGTATCAAAGCCATTTCCATGTTTAAAAAACGAAAGCGTCCTGTTGGGGGAAATAATTAAAATGGGGGAAATTAATTTAGATGAGCTGCAAATACTTCTTCTTGCATACAATGTCACCCAGGCCGAGTGCAAGCACATGGATTCGAAGCATATATCTCTAAGCTTTTTGATAAAGCTGCGATTTCTGCTGCATAATGGTGATGTTTTTCATAGCCGGGTCAAGCGTCATACGAGTCAAGAAATTGAGTGAATTTTTGCACTTTGTAAATTAAACGCATACGATTCTTGATTAGGTTTTTATCAAATTCATAGCTCAGATCATTCGGACACTTTTGATAAAAATTGAATCATTCATAAAGGGCTGAACTTTGAAATTACTACGAACGCCAGTTTCGTCAATCTACTTCACGGCTCTTTAACCATTTAAGTTAACTTTTAAACTTAACATAGAAAAACTTCCAATTCTGTCTTTTAATAGACTTTCCATGTTTCTGATTGAGAAGCGACATTAGATGGGATTGCATGTTTTTTTTCATGCAGACGATTTTTCTAATGGGATTATATTAGTCATTTAAAATGTTCTTTAGAATTTAAATCAACTCGATTATTTTAATCAGACATAGCTTAATTACTTGGACCATATTTGGAAGACCCATTGGAAGACCCATTTTTCTTCGATGATGCTTCGAGGAAGGGGGGGGGGCGGATTTTCAAAAAACTTCAAAAATTTTGTCGACTTTTTCTTTAGATCGACCATTTTGAATTTCTGAGCGCTACCGAATCACTATAAAAACCCTATTTTGAGCAAAGTTTCTGCGCCGCAGGCCAATTATAGAAATTTTGACCAGAAAATAGCGTTTTTTTTGGGCGCGCGCTCCCCCATCTAAGTTAGTATATTTTGCCAACGAAGGCACCTTAGAAAAACTTTAGCGTCAGTCAGCCAAAAATGGATATCTCAAAATAGTACAAAGGGAGACTCCTTGGGTCGACAAGGAATCGAATTCCTAATCCCCCCGGCCTCCACCTAAATCTGCTGGAGCCACAGATACTGGACTTTTGTGGTAGCTTATTATTCGCAAGATTTTTTTGCTGTTTCTTTGAATGATGAGTTCTGTTCATTTTTTTCGATTTTGGTGTCTGTGTTATTTTTTGTTGGTTGTTCAACCTAATACGATACACATCTCAATCTTGGATTTACATTTTTTTTGTCCTGAAAGAAGCAGAATTTTGCAATAAAATTTTTGTTGTTTACTCATTTTTGAACTCAATTATAGTGATGTAGGATAATATGAACAGATTTTCACAGTTTGTTTTTGTAGAAAATAATAATTTTCCCCAATTAACAAATTGATATAGTCTTTTAATTTCATTTTAATGAAAACAAAGAACTGATTAGATACAATGTAATGATTTTGCTGGAACTGCAGTAATGCAAGTGGAAAAGATCCATCTCACATTGTAAAAGCTCATGATTATGTTCATATTTTAAATTGCAAGCAGAAAAAGCAGATGCTAAACTTTGCAGGAGCAATGCATATGCATTAGTACATTTCCTCCATTTTTAGGCTATTTCGGCTAATTCGGCATTCAATTTCCATTGACATTTTCTGTTTTCAATAAACTAAAACCACCAATTGTTTTTTTTTCAGTGTAAATAAACCAGAGTAAAAAAATTAAAACTTTGACCATTTCCGAGTGGGTTTGACTCCAATAAGAAACAATTTGTTCAAACCGTTGTTCTCACAAAGTTTTCTCGCTGACCGTTGTTCTTACAAAGTTGAGCTGTTTTTTCGTTTTTGTTTGTGTCTGCAGAATACAATTTTGCCACTGAGTAAATTAGTTCTTTGGATTGCCTACATTAACGATTAACCGTCGTTATCAAAAGTGAATAGAGGTTTTTCGATAAAGGCTGGAAAAAGAATGATTTTGATTAAAAATACATTGTGAAAATTAATCCTGAACTCAAGTCAAAACCGCCAAAAATAACTTTTATGCTAAAAAACCTGTTTTAGAAGTAGAATGTTTTTTTGCCATTGAATTGAGCTAAATTAGTGTAACAATTCAGCTTAGTTGTTGCTTTGTTTTCATTGCCTAGAGATGAAGGATAATACATGGTATGAGTAAGCAAATTCAGGCTTACTCGATAAAAACTAATTTTTGCGACGTTAGATTTTATACAGGAGTTTTTGCTTTTTTTGGTGAATCAACGTGCAAAATAGAATCAGCTACAAGATCTGCTTGCAAAAAGTTTTTGACCTAATTTGAGCCAATTTAGTTTTTTTTATTGGGTTTTTTCATGGCTTGTAATAAATAATTTCGGCAAACTTCCAACTGTTCCGGCGCGGATCTAGGAATTTCTCGAGGAGGGGGGGGGGGGGTTTCAGGCCGACCAAATTGATTTTCTGAGCTCTCCGAAACCACTATAAATACTCTAATTTGACGAAATTTTCTGCGCTACAGGCAAATTTTTGAAAATTTTAGGCACTTTTTGGAAACTTTTGACCAAAAAATTGCGTTTTTTTGGCGCGCGCTCCCCCTCAAAAAAAATTAGGATAGTTTGGCACCAAAGGCAAATTTCGAAAAATTTTAAGGTCAGTCAGTCAAAAATACATATCTCGAAATAGTACAACGGCGGGACCCTTTGGGTCGGCAGGGGTCAAATTCCTGAGGGGGATCCGCCCAACCCCCCACCTAAATCCGCTACTGCAATTGTTTAAAACTATTTTTCTCCATTATTTGCGTTCGATCAATTTATTGTTTCAATTTTCGATACGAAAGTAACAGTATATTTGTGCTCGGAGTGGATTTTTGTTCTTCTGACAAATTTCGACTTTTTAACTAGCCATTTTATACGGAATTTTTTTTTTATCATTCGAAAGTATTGTTGCCTTGAGCTCAAATTTGAAAAAAAATTTATCTATGATCATTTTTCGTAAAGTTATGGGGGTTTACATATTGCCATTTTGGCCAATTTGGGACAAGTAACTCGCGATAAATTTCGCGGTATTAACGCGTAAGCGGAGAGTTAATCCGTCTTAGAAATCGTTCCATATTGGTTGAAAGAAGCCTATTTGCCATAATTGATTTGTTGCAAGGAGTGAAATCTATCCTTTTGTGCTTTGTATGGCGTGTGGGGGATGATTTTCATTTAAAAAAATCAAATTTTAGAAGAACATTTTTCATTTTGTTTTACATTTAACTTTTCTATCACTCCTACATTGGACTATTTTTTTCCATGACAACAACGGTTTATCAAACTGATACTAAAAGTGTAACTAAAGGTGAGAAAAAACTGACTAATTTTGTTTAAAAAAAACGATAAAAATCATTTTTTCTTCGACTTTTTTTTGTGTTTTTCTGTTTTCCTCGAAGTGTATTTCGTCTTTACTATTGCTTACTGCTATATTTTGATATACAGGGGATTAATGAGGGTCAAAACAGATAGAATTTCTTAGTTATCCAATTAATTTCTATGTGGATAAAACTTTTCCAAGTAGTTTGTATAGTTTGTCCGAAAGTAGTTTGCGAAGTAGTTTGTATAGTTTGTCCGAAAACATATCAGCTTAAGTTTTCTTTTTTTGTGAATTTCCTCCCTTGCTCACTGAAATTAGATCAGTTGTGTGAAGAGACCGTAAATTTCAAAAAACGTTATGGTTATTGTGATTTCACTGATGGATAATGGCAGTTCTGTTTTCAAACTATCCTTTGGCAGGGAAATTCGAATGTACTTTCTTAAAGCTTTTTGTAAATTAAATTAGATTTTTTTTTCAATTGGAAAATCAGCTGCTACTGTTAGTATTACTCTAAAGATAATGTTTGATACGCACATTCGTCTGACTGGCCTAATTATTTTTTTCGATATTAGTATCAAACTGGCGGCGACAAAACTGTATTTTAAAATTTCTTCTTCAAGAAGATTTAACCGATTGCAGACCAATTAGCCTTCTTTTAGCAAAAAACAAAGTTATCAACAAAATTTTTTCCTGCATTTTTCGAAGGGCTAAGTTGGTACTTCATGCCGCTGAACAGTTTTGATTCAAAACATCATTCATGTATTCACGTTATTAAGATACTTGATTCGTTCGGCTGAAGGTTTTGCAAATACTTCTTCCAGGAATAAATCATTGTCTTCATTGAAAAAAGGTTGTTAATTATGATAAAGACATGCTTTTGTTTCTGTAGACTCAGCAGTTTTTCTATCTTTATCACCTATTCGGTAGCATCATCATAGTATAATCACCAGATTTTGCGAGACCAAACAATTTCTATTTGCGACCCTGGATTAGCCGAAGGGGTGCAGTTTTCTTAGCTTGTTTCCCAGAAGTTCCGAAACACTGGAATCACATTGTTTGACATACGAGTAGGTGACACAAGCAAAACTTTGAGAAAACATGATAAAAAGTACATAATTTGGTCATTTTTGAGGCTTTTGACCAATTTAACGGTTGGTTCTTAGAATGCGGTAGTCGTAAAATAGTACCAAAAAGGATCTTTGCACGGTGAAGGGGTCAAATTCTTGAAAACAAAATCTCTGATCAACCAGTGTCTCAAATGGCCGTTTGTGACGTTTTATTTTGCGCTTGGCATGAATCAATTTGATTAATCAGATTTTATATTGGTCGTATTTGGTTTTTTGAAAAATCTAAAGCGTGCGTTAGAAAACTGGTGTTAAGATAAATACACTCTGCATAAATCGCAGTTTTACATAGCACAGTGCAAAAATACTGATATATCTAATGAAGATTATTTATACTAGTTATAGTTCATAAATTTTTTATTTTCAAATTTGTTTCATTAATTTAGAATTTTCGTTGTTATTGGTATCTGAGGAAACGAAATCTCGAATTTTATACTAAAATACATCAAACGACCATTTCCAAAAAATACAACTATTTTCAATTTTTGAAAGAAATTCAACCCTAGACAATTTTAGGACTGCTTTTTCGATTGCACATTTACTTTCAAGTACAAACATCAGCAACAGTTCGTGCATGTGTTAATAAGGATGGATGGGAGTGGGCGGGTTTTGCTTCTGAATGAGTTGAAGAAGAATAGATTACGTAATAGCAAGTTGATAGAAGACCTCAAGCGGGAAGTGGAAGATTTAAGAGCCACTACGACCACAAGAGCAAAGTCCTATCATCACCCTTCTGACAGCCGGTATGTATGTACCCGGATCGAGGTGATCGATTAATGCTTCGACCGTCTGTCGAAACTCGTCATGTTCCAATCCTCTTTACCATTTATGCGTATATTTGACTGTCCCGGCCAAATCCAGGGATGTTTCGACTGCTTCGATCGAAAAAAACTCGACCCGGATATTTAATAATACACATCTCCGACTTACAGCACAGGCAATTTAAAGATCCTTAGATAGGCCCAAAAGCCCATAGTAGATCATCTGCGACTGGCAAAAATGACATTTTTTCTACTCAAAGTCGTGTATTTTGACTGTAATAATTGGAGAGGTTGGTAAAAAAAATTTTTGAAAAATGTTCAGGGAAAAATATTTTGAAAAGTGAGAAGGTTTCTAAATGGTTTTATTTTTTGGAGAAATTAAAATGCAAAAGTTAAAAAGTTAAGAGAATGTTTTAGTGTTCAAAGTGCCCAAAGAAATTTTGAGGTGCATTGTGCAAATATTTCCTTTGTAAAAAACAATTTTCTAGAGGGGAGGGAGTTTTTTAGTTTTGAAAGATCGAATTCTTGCGTGCTGGGAGGGAGTTTGAGACTCAAAAAAGTGTCCAATATTGATGATTTCTTTTCAGCTACAACAGACATCCACCACAGGTAGGTATGGGTTCGATTCCCAACCTGCCCTTCCGAGGGATCTCCCAGATGCCACTTGACTCAACTGTGCCACTTCTGTTACCCTACGAGAGCAACAGTGTCGCATCCGAAGCCAATCTGCTCAAGGTTAAAATCCTTTTTTTTTGTCTCCCAACAAACTCATTCCTGAAAATTCCGTGAGAGTGTCAAAAAAAGTTGAATATGCGTTGCAACCACAAAAGGACATTAAACGCAAAATAAATCAGAACTTTTTAATTTTAATTAATTGTAGTTCCTGCGAATCGCAGAGGAGCTATCAGTAGGCCTTAACAGTCCTGTCGAGGATAGTCCATTTGTATTATCTCCCCACATTCCAGACATTGTTATTTTGCTGAGCGAAGCTCTTTTTTTTGCGACTCAAGGCCGTTTTTTTCCCTCTAGAACTTTAACGTGGTACCACTATTGCAGCCAAATTTGGTCAGGTTGTGGTAGACCTGAAGCTGGAGGTCAAGTGAGAGCTTGTCCTCACACACTATCATTGCCATGGCATGGGATCGAATGCACGATCTGACGATTTCCAAGTGAACGCCTTACCACTGTGCTAAGTGTTAACTTTTTGACACGATTCTTAACAAGTGATCGCGAATCAGCTTTGATTCTTCTTTCTAACGGTTCCGTGTAAGGTTCCCCAGAGCAACTTCTAGAGCAGTATAGGAGTTCTCCTTGTGTGGTTTTATTGGGGCGTTTTTAACCCCCCCCCCCCCCACCATTTGAAATTTAATTTTGAATAACTAGTTATACGTTTGCAATAATATAATGAAAATTCGCTTGGTGAAAATTTGCTATAACAAACTAGATATTGTGAAAAGATCTGTTCTTAATACCTTACACATCGCAACATCACGCATTCAGCCATAATAACACGTAAAACAGTTTTAAAAATGGAAGTTTTGAAATGTGGGAGGGGGGGGGGGGGGTTAGGGGTGAAAAAGAGCCTTTTATTTACTCATCGTCTTTTGTATTGTAACCTCACAAAATGAGTTCAATTTCAAGATGCAGTACATGGCCTCAGGAGGCGGAGATCCCACCATTGTTGCACAGTTAGACCAACTTGTTGCACAGGCAGTTAGTGCGCATCAGTTCAATGACCCAATGGCCAATGCTCAGATGACTGGAAGAGCAGCCGGTCGAGACCCCTTAACACTCAAGGCAAGCCAGTTTGATCTTCAAAATCGGTTTTCGAAAACGATTTTTTAAGCATGCTCAGGCATTTTTCTCTGCAAACTCAATTGTTTCAAAATTTTATGTAATATATTTTTTTATTCAAATTTTTTGTCATATTCTGCTATCATAATTAAAAATCTTACGTGGTCAAACATCAGTGATTGAATTCTTTTTTGATTTTAGGCTGTGAACGACTTTTGCTTTCTCGTTGCGATTGGATGATTAACTTGGCGAATTGCAATATCAATTATAATTATAAAATTCTAAAGCAATGAAAAAAAATTCAAATGCAATACAAAGTCCTGCCAGAGCTAAACCAACCACCATCCGAAAAAAAAAATACGAAACTTCTACAAAAAACTTTAATTTCTGAAAAAATTTCTACAATGATAATGGCAGCAATTATAAATGCAATTGGCTACATTCGCAGCAACGATTTCTCTAATTATTCCGACTTTCGAAATATATGACGGAATAATTGCGTTTGAAGTGATTTTTTGCAAGACAAGTTTCGGCTTTTTAACTGTCCGACTGGCTTTTTCTGGCGGAAGTTTTTTATATCATCTGAAAATTTTTGATACCCTGATGAGCATAAAAAGAAGATTTTTGGCCATGCCATTGAAAAAGATATTTTTGTACAAATTTGGCTCGATTTGTTTGAGAATTGTAGGGCTGATAACCAGAGCCTTGAATCAAGTTGCAGTGAAAAAAAATTGCAAAAACGGCAAAAAGCGAGAAACACGTTTAAGGCTAAATTAAATCAAACTGCTTTGGTTTAGCTTGTCACAAATTATTATCGTGCTTTTATTACCGTTGCGATAAGCAAGCGTTATGAAACTGGAATATAGATTTTTTTGGGTTAACAACTAGTTTAACACAATCAGTTAAATCAGTTTATTTCACTTCATTTCTTATCTTCTCTTCACTTCTCTTTTCACCTTCTCATAACAAGTTAGAGGTTGCTTCCCCCTTGGCATGGAGGTTAAGCAGTTGTTTTGTATCCTAATGTCTGGAGCTCGAGGCGTGGTCCGTTCTTGTTTTTTTTTTCAGTGTCAAGGAAATTGAAAAAAAAATCCGAGAAAAATGAATTGATGGTTTTTCGTTTGTTCGCTCAGCTTTTGTCAGCTAAATTGCCACAACGGATTTTGATTGTGCTATAGACAATTTTCCTTGTAATTGCATGTGCAAATGTTGTTTATTCTAGTTTCAAGGGGGTTTTGAAAGATTTTAAAAACATCAAAAAATCATTTTTTTCCAGTTCAAGTCGTTTCTGCTCAAAAGTTTTTGGCTTCGTTGCCACATCACTGATTTTTCTGGTGGTGTAAACAATTTTCATTGTAGTTGCTGTCGCGCAATTGTTATCCAATGTTGTTTAAGATGGGACTTTAAACATTTTTTTTCGGCTTTACTTGTGTCTGCTCAAAAATTTTCGGCTTTGTTTTTTTTTTCGTAAATTTTATTCCGTTGTTGCTAATTTGAAATTCAAGTGTCTTGCATGTTTGCCTGGAATGAACTTCTATCGAGACATATAAAAGTTTTAAGACCCAGTTTTTTTTCGCCTTTTTATGTTTTTTTATGTTAATGCTGTACCGCAAGTGGTGCAAAGCTCCGCTCCGCCTCTGTGTTATTAACATCGATCCATTTTTTTAAATAAAAATTTTTTGTGTTTTTTTTTATTACTTAGCGGGTATAAATAATGTTTTCATATTGAATAGTTAACAAGATAAATTTAAAAATAATATATATCGATAAAGTACATTAAACAAACAGGAAAAATCTTGAAAAGTTGTCAGAACTTTTCAATCAAAAAGAACTATCTCGTAGACGTGAAAGGGCATTCAGAATTTCCAGGGCTTCGCATTTATACAAGACATCTTTTTTTATTTCCGTTTGCTTGTCTATGTCAATGCGGTAAACGTTGGGTCTAATTTTTGCCAACGCGGTAAACGTTCGGTCCAATTTTTGCCAACCGACCAAATCAGGGGCGGATTTAGAGGGGGACGGACGCCCCCCTCAGGGATTCGACCACCTGCCGCCACAAAGGGTTCCCCCTTTGTACTATTTTGAGATATCCATATTTGCTGACGGACCCTAAAAATTTTCTAAAGGCAGATTTGGCGCCAATCTATATACTTATTTTAGGAGGGAGCGCGCGACAAAAAAGCGCAATTTTTTGGTAAAAGTTTTCCAAAAAGTGCGTAAAAACGCCTTTTTTGCCTGTTTTTTTTTCAAAGTTTTGCCTGCGGCATAGAATTTTTGGCCAAAACAGGGACTTTTTAGTGCTTTGAGAGAGCACGGAAAGTCAATTTGATCGACCTAAGAAAAAAAAAGGTCGACAAAATATCGAAAATTTTTTGAAAATCCACCTCCCCCCTCGAGAAAATCCTAGATCCGCCCCTGGACCAAATGTTATTTGGACGGTTGTCTACGAAAGTAAGATTCAACGTACCAGCAGCTGTTCTCTTCTTTGCGGCGAACCGCAGTTGCACCTATGCTTAAGAATTACTTTTTCATTTTTCTGAGCCGGGCAAAAGTTTGTGTCACCCTCATTTATCGATCAGTGATCATGGCGGGCCTCGAACCACCAATCTTTTAACTGATTGCCCAGTTACAGTAAACCGGCGACAAGACGAGCTACAATTGGTTGATTGTTTAGATTCTAGAAGATTACCGACATGAAAATGAGAAGCTACGAAATGAGCTCGAGACTGTGAAACACGGAAAAGTCACAGGTAAGCACATATTTAATCTATTTGTTCTCTTTTAACCTCCTTTCTCTCCCTCTATTTGTGTTTAAGTTTTTTTGGTCATTGCATGTTAACCGATTGAGCTCGAACAAATTTGGTCTTTCCCACAAATCCCACAGCTTTGATGCCAGGTGTAGTTTTGCAGTGTGACCTGACCTTTTAACGCGCAAATGAGCTTGAACTAAGGGTAGACGGTACTGTCAAATGGTACTATTTTCGCTAATTGTTTAGGCAACCGGTTATTACACTAGCGTCAGCTTAGTGTATTATTAAGAAACTTTTTTTTTCTAGCCTAGTTTGTAAATATTGGTGCCACTTTTAGGGCACCTTTACAGTTTTTTGATAGTATGTGCTTTGACATTCGAATAGTAATAAGTGAACACAGTTGATGCATTTTAAATTCGTCAAATGAAGCGAAAAAAAACTCTTTCTTTCAGAAAACAACAATCATAAAAACTGGATTTCAGAAATTTTCTAACTCAATCAATATATCTCGCATCATTTTGAAATGCAAACTTTTCATATATAATGTTGCTTTATGCTTTCTAATTTGTTACATGCAAAGTTAGTGTGGATGCCTTCAGTTTGTTATATTCCAAATTATTACTTGCAAAATTGTGTCTATTTCTATTTGGTGCCACTTTTACTGAATTGCTTTGGCAATTTATTAACATTTGTAGCTGCTTTATCCATGACTAGTGTTTGTCGATGGTTAAGCGTGCGTGGCTGAGTGGTTAGTGCGTGAAACTCAAAATCTCTATATTGCAGAAGATCGCAGATCGAATGCTAGACCTAGCTGAGTATCTATTATTCGAGGCTTATTTCTTTTTTTTCTCATTGCTTTTTCTAGAGCTACGTTTTATCGTGTTGTATCTAGTGTTTGCGAAGCAAAACTTCGCCTCTCTGTCATATTTTTACAGATATAAACAAAATTTCAATTTAGTTTACACAAAGGCGCGCTTGTAAAAAAAATAATCTAGAAAGATTGAACAAAATATGAACATTTTTTCAAAAAACAAAATTGAAAAACCGGTTGTTTCCTTGAAAAATTCGACCTGTTTTCCGAAAAAAGTAGCTAAAAAGAAAAAATCGGGAACAAATACTAGATTTTTCTGCGCTACAAGCTTCTCCTCGCTGCATGTTAAAGTTATATGACTTTTGTTCATCTTGTCCTCTGATTGTTTGAAGGAAAGACCGAATACTTGCGCTCGGGCTTTATTTTTTGCAGAATTGCACCTTCAAATTGCACTTTCGATCTACCAATATCCATCAGATTCTTTTCTATCATCTGAAAAGTATTTATGCACAGGGTTCAAAATGAAATATGTTTTCCACCTGAGGTGTTTGTGGCAAAATTATGAGGGTTAAAATAAATTAAATTAAGAGAAGTTAAATTATGGTTTTTTACTACTTTCACCGAAGAAAAAAATTTAATATAGAAAAATTCTTGGCAAAAATTTTTCCACTTCGATTATGTGTATTCAATTCAGGCAAAAATTTCCGATATAAAAGTAAGACATTGAATTATTTTCATTCCAAAAATCATAACGCATTATAATTCCATGGCAACCTATATTTAACTCCATGTCAGCGCAACATAATCCTTTTCGATTTGACATAAAATCGCTGTGTCTCTTTAAAATGTTAATCTAAAAATAAGAGCCACCGACATGGATCAATGCGACGATCAGTCATCTAAAAATTACCAGTAAAAATTCAGTTATTGCAAAAAAAAATCAGTTTTCGTGATGATTTCAATTCCAAATGAATAAAGCAAAAAATTGAGGCATAAACAAGCAATCGCATCTAAAACAAAGAGCAATGAAAAAAATCGGTGTTACCATGAAATCTGAAAGCTCATCAGTAGAGAATTCTTTTCACTAGAAATTTTTTTCTGGAAGTTTTTAAAAATTCCTGATTGCTGTCAGTTCCTAAGCAATCTAAGGCAATAAATTGAGGCGACCAACAAAAAAAGCCACTGCGACCATTAATTAACTAAAAATCATCATTTATAAATTCAATTTTTACCAGAAGCTTTTTAACGCTACCTGATGATTTTTTAATTGCAATTATAATGGTGTCGAAGTTTAACAAAGCCAAAAATGAAAAAGCGTTCAACAGTGCTAAAAATTGATAAGTTTTAGCACCGTTGAACACTTTTTTATTTTCAGTTCTATTGTATTTCGGCACTGTTTTACTGCCCCGAGAGGGGCGTTCAACAGTGGCCATGTACTTAAATGCCGAAAATGAAAACGTGTTCAACAGTGCAAAAAATTGATGTTTTTCTTCGGCACTGTTGAACGCCCCTGTTATAATTGATTGATGATAATTCATTACAATCACGGAAAAAAGTGAATATGAAAACCAATTCTAATTGATTACGTGTTTCGTATTAACAGTTATGCGTTTTGTTTAATTGATTACTCTTTCAAATTATATTTAAGTTTTATAGGACCATAAAAGAACTGAAAATTTCAATCATAAAAGTTTGTAGAATTCCTATAAAAAAGGTATTCGTATAATTCCCGAAGCTTTTTTCCTAGACAAATTGTATCGAATTGTATGCAGTAGCGAATTTAAGGGGAAGGGGTGGATGCTTCCTTCACGCCCCAGATACTAATTTTTTAGGGGGAGCGTGCGCGGGAAATTTTTTTCGATCAACACCTTCCAAAAAGCGTTTTAAAACATCTTTTTCCTTGTTTTCTTTTCAAAGAAACATTGGCTAAAATAGGGTCTTTATTGTGATTTGGAAGAGCTTGGAAAATCAATTTCTTGACCTGAAAAAAGATCGAAAAAATTTTTAAAACTTTTTTGAAAACCCCTCCCTCCCCTCGAAAAAATCTTGGATCTGCCTCTGATTTTAAAACGACTAGCATTTTTTCATAGACAAATTGCATGGAACTGTATGGCTATGTTATTCAGTGTCTGGAAGTGAACCCAAGGGGGGTTGTTGTGATTAGAGGAGGACGAGTTGAGTGTGTTGCGGCGTGACCACATTCTGAAGATGACTCAGATGCGACAGGAAGTAGAGCAGTTACAGCAGATGGCCAAGATACAGCAAATGAAACAACAACTGGATCCAAACTCAAACTCATCTGACAATACGATGGGAGAAGTGGGTGTAATAAATCTGTTTAATTAATGAGATAACAAAAAAAATATTCTTTTATTTGGTAGCTTGCTCCAAAAGTCTGCACCTATTTTTATCGAAAACTGCCGTTTGGGGACAAAAAATCTATGGTTCTTCTAATTGAATAATTACCTTTTGTAAATTTTCTGCTTACCTCTATTTGGGTAATTGCAATAAAAATACAATTGCTGTAATTGGTGACGGTAAAAGAGTCGAATAATTTTCGTTTTTGGATGTTGCAGAAGTTGAAGCACTGGGAGAGGAGGGTTGGAAGCCGCGAGACACCCTACCTGCTGGCACATGCCTCCTACCCTCTGGGTGACTCACTAAACCTAGCCCCATACGACCCCGCGTAAGTACCTTTGCTGCTTCTTGTTTGCAGGGTGACCGATAATTATGTCAGCCAAGTATCTGAAAGAATTGAGCTGAAAAATCAGTGCATTTTGAACCATTTAAAGCGCGTTGAATGGTTGATGCAGATAGTGATCTGCTTTTGAAATGTTTGTTTCAACGTTGAGTTTGTTAAGCGACTCGTAAGGTATGCTAATTGCTACCCCCCAATAATGGGGAGCTTGTTAAGCGACTCGTAAGTAAGGCATGCTAATTGCCCCCTCCCCCCATAATGGAAGTGTGTTCTATACAGGAGTGGTTTTCTGCTGTTCCACGACTACGTGCTCAACGTGGACCCCTCCTACAAGTCGCTCAAAGTGGTGGCCAGACTGTTCCGAGGGGGTCTGGAGCTAGGAAGTGCTGTTCCTCTTCCGGAAAGACAGTGTGTGGGTATGCATGGAGACAGCTACTCATCCTCCTACCTCCATTGTCTAGCCAAAGCCATTATTCCCGTTAAGGCTATCTTTTACCCCCGTGTGGCTCAAATTTGTGTGCAAGTATGATAGTTGGGTCCCCAAAAAAAGCAAGTATGAAAGATGGGTCCCGTGATTTTGCAGAAATTTCAAAAACACAATTTAAAAAATACTCGCCCTGATTTCAGGCGCAAACAAAGTTTCCTTCAGGGACCCAACTGCTATCATACAGCTATTTCTTCTCCATAAATAGCGTTGTAAAATTGATGTATCATGCATAACATCTATTTATCTTGGTGTTGGTAGTGGGGGGCTTTGTGGACGGCAACAAATCACAGTAATGTCTATAGTGACTAATTTTGCCTCTAGAAACTAGTCACTATAGACATTACGCTTTTTACTGACTTTCACACAATTTACGCGAGCACTAAAAGCTCAATTTCATAAATAACGTCTTCGTTTAATACCTAACGGCTATGCATGTGAGCATAATTGAAAAAAGGAGCAAGGAAGAGAAAGATATGGAAGCCAAGTATGCTTAATGTGCATTAAGGACTGCGAAACACTGTTCCCGCAAAACGCAGAGGACCTATCAGAGGCTGCTGCTAGCCTGTTTCAGAATAGTCAGTTTCGTTTATTTCATCACGTTTTCGACTATTCTGCGCCAAAAAACTTCATATGGTGATGGTGCCACTGTTGAAGTTGAAACCGCAGAATATCACCTATTAAAAAATCAAATTCTCTTTCAACTAGAAGCGCCGATTCTTTTCCTTTGCACGCGGTAATTCATATAGCTTCTTCTTTATGGGCGAACTTTGCCCTCTAAACGACTTTTTTTTTCGTTTCCTGTTGTGTTACGTGCGTGTTGAATTGTGCCATCTGCAGATGTCTACCATCTCCTGACCTGTCTCTCCTGGTTGAAGTGCAAGCCTCTTCCCACTACGACGAGCGCCTCAAGACAGTCTGCTGGGCCAAGTTCCTCCTGTTCGACGACCAGCACCGGGTGCTCAGTGGACGGTGGAAAGTTCCCCTTCGGGTCATCCCAGTGCGGCCTGACCTCCACCCCAGGGACACCAACAACATACCACAGGTAACAGTTTTAATATCTCGTCGCAAAAGTCTGGCAACGAAGATCAAACTTCGGTCGCGAAAGTCTGGACAGAGATCCGTGTAGCGTTATGTATAACCTCAAAATATCGTCCATACCAGATATTTGCATGCAAAAAAAATTGGGAAATTGGGAACTCGTTTCGCTTGTGAAAAAATACATATTTTGGGGCAGTTTTGATTGTATGATTAGCCTTTTTTTGCCAAAAAGTTTTTAATTATGGCGATGGACGACTTTTATACGAAAACAAGAAAAAAATATATTTTAAAATTCTATGACTCCATTGTAGCAAAAATTTGCGAATTTTGTATGAGTAGCATTTTTTCATAGACTTAGTTTATGGAGTTTTATGATAAGCCTTTTTGATATATATGGAGGTCAACTCGGCACTTTATTAGGATAAAGGTACGAAAAAAACTTACTAGAAGTTAGCGTTGGGACAGTATGGTCATCTAAGGTAAGTTGGACATCAAGAAAAGTTTTTTTTTGAGTATTTTTGTTACTTGAGTTGATTTAGTGTGGAAAGATGGAACTGTTCTATCGGGTGTGCAATGCGAGGGATGCGGAGGTTCAGACGAGAGTGGCAGTGGCACCCAACCTCGCCTACCAGTACATATACCCTCCCACGGTAACTACACAATCTAAACCTAACAACCCCCTTAGGACCCCCCAGTTGGTTCGACTGTTCTACCCATTCTTTTTTTTTCTTATTCAGGAAAGATCAATTCTGTAAACCGTAGATTCCAATATTGATGAAATTTTTACATTATTGGATTTGTAAAAATAAATTAAATTACTGATGTAAATTAAATTACTGAAATTTCAGTCGCACTCAACGTTTATTTTGTTTCATACAACTTTGCCCATACAGTTGATTTACCCCCCCCCCTCATCCTATGAAAAGATAGGTGCACAGAAAAAGAAAAATCAATTTTGATTTCGAGATCAATATCCTCCGGGTCGAGGTCAGCGACCAATTCTCAGTCGCACCGATGTTAATTCAGCGAGCGAAAATTCATAGTCTGGACGAAGATTTTTTAGTAGTGTGCAATGTTTACATCAATTGCGTTACAGTCGCAATAATCTGGAAATTAGCCGCGATATAATTGCGCCGATCGCAACCAGAACCGCAAGCTTTACCCGGGTAATAACAATACAGTTCAATTTCACCATTAAAGTTGACTCATTCTTCATTTAGCTGCTTGAATTAGTGGTCTCACCAATTTTAGGGGTCTTTTTTCTCAGGGGCGGATCTAGGTTTTTCTCGATGGGGATGGGGGAGGGTTTCAAAAATTTTTTTAAGGTCGACCAAATTGATTTTCCGAGCCCTCCGAAAGCACTAAAAAGTCCATTTTAGCCAAAACTTCTGCGCCCCAGGCAAACTTTTGTTGAAAAAACAGGCCAAAAAGGTGTTTTTAGGCATTTTTTGGAAAATTTTTACCAAAAAATCGCGTTTTTTCGGCGCGAGCTCCCCACTTAAAGTCAGTATATAAGTATATATTGGCGTCGAAAGCGCCTTTAGAATTTTTTTAACGGTCTGTCAGCCAAAAATGGATACCTCAAAATAGTTCAAGGTGGACCTTTTAGGTCGGCAGGGGTTGGAATCCCTGAGGGGGGAAGCGTCCGCCCACCCTGAATCCGCCCCTGGTCTTGCTATAATTTTGCACATGGAAACCTACCGACACATAGATAACATACTGATTAACTTAAAAAGCCGGGCTGTAAGTGTACAAGGCTCATGAAATAGGGTCGTTGTAGGTTCCGTTCATCCGTCGTGATGCGTTCATAGCTAACCAATTTTTTTAACTATTAGACGATCTAAAATAGTTATCCGAACTCAAAATCCAAAAGATGTTCTATCTAAAAGATTTTTTCATAAAATTTTGGGTTTTAAAAACTGCCAATTCGGTAAACTTGAGGAAAACAAATCAGTCGGAAAAAAAGTTTCTAAAAACGCGTAGCGTTGGCAGCCATTAGTTCAAAAATGATGACAGTGAAGAGAGGTTAGCTAATTGGCCCAAATGTTTCGTTATTAGTCGCATAATTTGTCACTTTTTTCTTAAGATTCAGTATAGGGACCGATTTTCAAAAAAAAATTGTAATTTTTTTTTTGCACATTAAACTTCAACCTGCAAAATTAAAAGTAAACTTCCACTTGATTCGAGAAAAACAAAGCAAAAGTATTTACAAGTTTACATATCTTGAAACAAATGTTGGGAGATTATTAAGTTTTGCAACCTGTTTCTAATGCTTTTAAAGAGAGCAAAAACTTTCAGTAATGGAAACGATATGTTGAGAAAAGACACGCAAAAGATTCATTCAAACCCTGTGGACAGATAGAAAAAAAAGAATGAAATATGCATTAGATAACACGAAACAATGTGTTACCCATGGTACTATCAACTCATTTGAAAAGAAAGAAAGACAATTTGTTTTCGGTGAAATTTGTACTACTCAGTTTGGTCGACCAAAAACAAAAAGTGTTTGAAACGTGTAGTTTATTTTTTATTTGGACAAAAATTTAATGATTAAAACACAGCAACCACTTTCTTCTTGTTTTTGGAGGGCTAATAATAAAACCTAGCCTATGATTGCAAAGATAAAAGTACTCAACGTTGTGCACTCATACATTGTTAAGGGGCGGATTTGGGAGGAGGGAGGGAAGGATGCCCCCTCTCAAGGATTCAACCCCCTCATCAACCATTCATTTTCGGCATCCATTTTCGGCCGACCAAAACTATAAGTTTTCTAAAGGTGCCAACATATGCTAACTTTGAAGGGCGCGCGCGCCGAAAAAAGACAATTTTTTTGACAAATTATTCCAAAACGGCATTTTTGGCCTATTTGCGAAAAGTTTTGAAAAGTAGCACCCCCTTTCTCCTCGAGAAAGTCCTAGATCCGCTTCCGACACTGTTGTCAAGTTCTTTACCCACCCTTTAAAGAAAGTATCAGAACAAAAATTTATGGATATGGCTTTTAATGATTTTGAAAAACATGTCGGCTTTCTAATTGGCTGATTTTACGTGTTATTTTATACTATCTGAACGACAATGATAGTTTTAGCTCAAAATTAAATAAAAAATTCCACTGTGCTTATGTTTTTGTAAAAGTATAGGTGGTTTAAAAACGGCCATTTTGGCTAATTCGGGATAAATAACTCGCGATGTGTTTCGTTTCGTGTTCAAAAATCAAAAGAGATTTTTTGATCAAATCTACATTGACACATTTTTGTATACCCGAAAATTTCAGCGAAAATTTTAATATGCCCCTCGAAACAATCTTAAGCTAAGCCTGAGTTGTTCTTATGAAAATAGTACCTGAAAAGCAAAAAATTTTCATGCCAACTTTTTTTCGAGTTTTTGGCTATTGAATCCTGATTGGCTAATCTAATTTTGGAGCATTCGGTTTTTCCTCCAAATGGGGTTCCCACGTTTGTTTGAGTTTCTTTAATTTTTGAGGCAACTGGCATATTCTACTTTGGTCAACTGTTTTTGCGTAAGTCGAGGATCGGAAAATATCATCAAAATTTTAGCTATATCATCTATCTTCATCATCGCTCATTTTATAACTGGCTTATGTTAAACCAATAAACAGGACTTCGGCAAAGGTAAAGATAATTAGTTTTTATAAAATATTCTCCTTTCTGGGCGAGGCACGTGTTTTACGCTAAGAATTTGAAGTTCAGAAATGATTGGGCAGTTTCTTTGAACTCGTTTTTATTCCGAACCAATCGTAAAAGTCTGACAAAAAGATGAGATTTTGTTGATCAACAATCAGACATACCATATTGTGGTTGAAAATTGTGTCTAAAATACGAAGCACGCGCCTCGCCTGTACTTAAAACGCGTGCAGTCACCACTCAACTTCTAAATTTTTCAATATTATTTATCCTGGATCTCAACCTGGTTTTTGAAATGACAAAATTCAGCCAGCATCCGCTTTTATATACTAAAATGCGTTCTGAAAATTTATTGTTTTAGCCAAAACTGTGCAGAAGATTGCTTTTTAGTACCTTCATCTACTCAAGCTATTAATTGTTCTCCTTTGAAGCTTCAAAAAAAATTATCAAATTAATAAACAAAATCAACACAAAATGCTTAGCATACAGTTTCATATTATGGAAAAAATGCTTGTCATACAATTTTATACTACAAAAAAAGTCGACTTTCTTGCAATTTTCATAAATTTTTGTGGATAAAAACTCTTCATACTATTTTCCGAGTCCAAGAAATAGTATGATAAGCATTTTTTGTCAACTAAAGTATGAAGGGAAAAATGAAAGTGCAATTGTGACAAAGAATTTGTCACAAGTATAGAAAAAACAAGTCTGCGATATCGCTCAAGGTATATTTTGAAAACTTTAAGAACACAAGTAAGCAAAAATTAAAATTCTGTTTTCGGGCTGTAAGGGTACACGCATGAAGGATTTTTTGTACCAATTCAAATACCTTAAACATCCTTTTCAGAAAATCATCTATAGTTTATGAACCCTATTTGTACTCAAAATTCATCCAAAAAACTCTATAAAATTTTTTTAAGTTTCTTCGACCAAATCGCTTCAATAATTAACCCACTTTCGTCCCCTCAATTATTTTCTTCATTCGGTTGTTTCAGTTTTTGTTAAACTATTATAAATTAACTTTTATTTTTAGTCATTTGACGACGCGATCTATGTCCAGGCACCAATCAGACAACCGGAGAAGCCGGAAAAGCCCAAGCCTCCTCCTCACCCTCAGCCAAAAGGCATCCTCTACGTTCCGAAGAGCAAGAAAAAGTGACCTCAACTCAATTACACATTATAATTATGCCACTTACCTTGAGAAAAATTTTAAGAATCTGACAACAAATTTTTCTCTCGAAATTTAGCCTTCCTGAGCTACTTGCTGGTTTTATTTTTTCAGTTAATACTCTTTGCTTGTAGATTGAAGAGTTGATCATAGCTTGATTGTGCAATATAAACCGCTATGGATGGGGGCATTAATAAAAACAGTTTGAATTTTTGACCTTACCACAACATAACATCAACAAACCGAAGGTTAAAATGTTTGATTTTTATCTCAGGGCAT